TTCCTTTTGCTTCGTTTACAGGCTGAAATGGTATTGAGAGAAAAAGTTGAAGAGATGGAAGAAAGGCATCAACAAGAGCTGCAGGATTTACAGGATGAACTAGAAGAACAAATAGAAGAATTAAAATCATTACATCAAAAACAATTAGAACAGGAAAGAACAGCAGCCCAAGCTGCTCAAGGTGAGGACAGCGACCTTTATCATTGAAATTCCGAATACTGTAGAAACCTTACTTACAATGGCATACAATTAAATAGCAACTCTTAATGAATAGGAATACATTAGGCTGTATTGTTTTTTTATAGCTCGTTTGAAAGGAGAGATTGAGTTTTTACAAGGGGCTTTTGAAGCATATAAAAGTAACGTTGCTGCTGACTTGGACGAAAAATGGTCTAAAAAAGAAAGTGATATGCAAATGAAATTTCGAGAAGAATTGGAAGAAGCATTGCAAGAGCAGAGTAAGTTCTGAAAGAATTCAGCATTAAAATATTTAACCACACAGATGTTTTATTGCTTTAATGTTACTAGTCAGATAATAAACATGTCTAACTCTGGTTAACTGTACATTTATCAATAGTGGATTTTCAAAAATGTTTGTTTAATCGTATTTAATATTTGTTTCCAGGGCAACGAATGATGGAAGAGAGGCAGAAAGAAAAGAAAGCTATGAGTCGTGAATTTCAAAGACAATTAGCCGTAGTAACTCAGGATCATAAACGAGAAATGGATGTGAGTGATTACAGTCATATTAGTCTGGTTTAGATGATAAAGTGTAATTTTATATTCTGTATAATGATTGGTTTAAGCAGCATTTCATTTTATTCATATCACACTCACATAATGTTTGCAACAGTGTAAACACCAGTGTTCCCTCTAAGCCATTTTGACTGATGCATTTTGATTCAAAATAATGAACCAGAATTAGTGATTTTTGACACATATTTGATGCAATCAAAAATTTACTTTCTCTGAAAAAAAATTTCGTAAAATAATTGATATGATTGATTTAATTATACATAAATGACACCAGATGCCACCTAGAGTCTTCTAAAAATTACTAACTAACTATTGACAAATAAAACATGGAAGGTTGCTAAGCAATGTGTATGTCTGCTATGCATCACTTAATTTTTTCACCACCAGACTTTCAGGTCCAAATTTTTCTGCACTTTTTTCTTATAATTCTTTAATATTTCTGGAAGTGAATCCTAATTTTGGAGCCAACAGACAAAATTTAAGTTAATTTTCAGTTTTTACTAAAAAAAATTGGCTATTTTTGTCCCAAGCTTCTGAAGGAAAGTGCAAACTATAAACAGAACTATTTTGTGAATAAAAAGAGTTAACTGGTGTTGAAAAGATTAAGTCACTCAAATTTCTCTTTTTCTTTTTTAACACAAGGAAATCATAATCCACTGTATGTTAGAGGGCATACTTGTTAGCACTGAAAGAAAAACATGCAAAATCTTTTCAAATTGAACATAATTTGCTGATACAGAGCTTTAAAAATGTATTTTTATGTTACAAATGTTGTATTTAAAAACAGCTTCTATGATTTGCACATCAGTCATTGAATATCAACTAATTTGCATATCACCAATGAAAATACCTGTTTGTCAGGAATTGTCATAAATATTAAATTTTTATTCTTAATCCACAAATGGTATCAAGTGGAATATCTGCATATCTGCATATCAGTTGTGGAAATACAGATTTCATTATATGTGCAATAATGTCTATGATTATGAGGTTACCGGTATTACAAGGATACTTCAAAAGTATGCACGAGGACAGTACAGCGAGAGTATCGACTAATGCACAGCTTGTCTCAAAGAATTGCATATAACTGGAATAAGTTTCCTTTGTAGATATTACACAGAAAGTTTTCTACTGCGGCAGTTGATATGGAAAACATGAAAAAAGCACTCGATCAGTTATCCAATGTGCAGGAACTATTGAATAAGAAAACTGAACAGTTGGACACAGCGAATGCAGAATTAAAAAAGACAAAACTTGAACTCCAGGACACTGTAAGTCAAAAGTTAGAAACTTAATAGGATTCTTTTTAATTGCTCATCAAAAAATAATCATCCGTTTTTTGTTTACTTTTCATTTGTGACATTTCACATTACCAAAGGCATACAACAAACTGCATGCTCCATATTTGTAAATAAATAAATAAATGCTATCGATAAAGAGCCCATTGCCTGAAATGTCTAGCTATTTTTAATAGTTACTTAGGACATCGGTTACCAACTATTATCTACTATATATATGTTCTGTTCAATGCACATTTACACCAGTTGTGCATATGAACCAGTAATGCTTGGTTTGATTGAAGAAATATTTGTTAAGAACACCATTATGTAATCATGGCTATTTCACTTCTTACAGAGAATTCGTCTTGTCGGCTTTGAAGAACATTTTCTTGACAAAGTACAAGAAGTTGATGATAAATACAAACAAAGAATGCACGGTCTAATGACAGAAAATACCGATCTCAGGTAAAAACTCTCAGATTTATTTTGCCTACATAATGATGAGTTTCATCTTGGCTGCTAGCCTGCCACATTTGTAAGCTTCACATTTTGTAGTTACCATATAAGGAACTAATTACCATATATTCATATGTCTGCTCATAACAAAATTTTCCAAATATAAACATATTCAATCACATGACTACAAATTTGTCCAAATATGGGTATGGTGCATAAAAACTTTGTATTCCCAGTCCAGATGCTGTTCCGGAATCTATGGATTGTCGCCTTATGTGTTTGTGTTTGTCCACCTCTATCCCAGCATACATCTTGAGATACATATGCACGCCTGTTCATTTCACGATCTGATTTATGATGGCAAACATTTTTATGCTTAAAATTTATTAAAATCAAGCATTTCTGCTATTCCGGAGCTGGATCTTGGTCGTGTATGAATGAATTTCCTTCAAACTTGGTACATACATTGAACATCTTGAGACCTTTATGCAGATTATTTTGTTTTTCTGATCACATTCAAAATGGCCAAATGCAAATGCTATTCTAGACCAATGTCTCTGACATACATCAACAGATTACAAATCAAACTTTACAGCAACATTATACAAAATGCACATCGGTAAATTTGAATCATGTTATGAGTCAAAATAGCTATCTCATTTCTGTTTACTATTTAACTAATGTTTTTATCAATTTCATGACAGGAGGCGATATATGCTGAAATGTGATGAATTATTTAGTGAGAAATCAAACCATGAAATTGATAGAGTTGAGAAACTGAGCAATGCTAAGGAAACAATGCAGGTAAGATTGGCTTAATCTTATTATGCTGAAACTGTTTCTGCTTAGTATTACAACAGTTATGAGAGAATCTTCATATTGTTTGTGTAACTTTTTCCTTTCTACATATTCTGTATATTAGCACCTTTCTAACAAATTTAAAAGTGTTGTGTTTCTACTTAGTGCATGGTGCTAATACTAATGTCAATAAACCCTGAAGCTGATTTGATTTTCGGTTGCCAAGGGGTTTGTTTTGTTTAAAACTACTTGAATCTACATAAACCGATAAATTTTATAAAATTTCAACAAATACTGGGTTAAGATTTATTAAAATGGAAAACACAAGATGAATACACATGATGCATACTTATCTATGTGGTGTTTCCTGGGAATGAACATGGCCTTCTGGGATACCATCAGTTGTGATGTATTGTGGGATACCGTGGTTCATTATCTGATTTTCTCATTGTTATTTGAATTTTATTAACCCTAACTTTCAAACTTCTGCTTCTTTATTACTAACTGTATAATACTTATTTCCATTCGCTCTCATTTTTCGACCTAGTCGATATTATCAAAATACTGGTAAGTAATCTTCAACCTCCTATGCAGAATTTCTTCAACTAACCTCTCCCTTTGTGAACACTGAGGGCAAACTCACATCTAGACTTCAAGGTCATTCATTAATATTATTTACTGAGCATTTTTATCAACTATTTAAAACCTCAGGTCATTAACATTTTCAGAGAAATAATTCACCTCTGATAGTGACAAATTGCATAAATTGGTGTAAGAAACACTGTTTACAGCATCAATATCATATTGATTTGTTATAAAACATTAATCAGAAATAAATTGTTTTAGAGATTTATTTTAATTTAATGGCTACTGCACAACCAAGCATAGTTATTTTAACGATATCGCCACATTAAGCTGGTGTACAAACGATATTCAAATACATGTAAATGTGATTAATTTATAAATATTTATTTTATGGTGATGATTTTGAATACTGCTTAAAACTAATTGAAGAGACAACTAGTTTTTTAGTACAAATGGGAAAAAAATACCAAACTTTCACAGCGATCTGTTTGGATGAAATTAAGCCAACTGCTCATATAATTCAGCCAAATTCATGCAATTTTTGTGTGGAAAAATCTCTTCGTACACCTAATTACAAGAAGATCATAGAACACTTTCCCAGGATTATTTGAAACCAAAATTGTCATCCAACTCAGGAGCCAATCAGGAACGGCCTTACAGTTAGATGATGATTTAGGTTTCTAAATACCCTCTGAAAGTAAACCCAGGGGTCCCACCCATATAGTAAATATTGATAGAATAATCAAATTTATTTTATTATCAATTGTACGCCATCTGACTGGAAATTGCTTACACCCATTTATGTCATTTTGATTGTTCTAAAAGCAATTTGTTGCTAGAGGAATACTGGAAAAGCGTTTTGTCATTTAGTTTAAGCACTTAAATATTCACTGTAGTTTATGCACCAAAGTTCGTTACCATAATCGCCCATCTCAGGAAATAAGCTGTTCTGATCATTTGTACAGTTACAGCTGGCACTGAAAAGAGATTCCTTTTTAATGAGTCAATTTTTAATGATCATTTCACCTTGAAGTTGTATTGTTGACAACATTTTGTTTGATATCTTTTACAAGTCAAGTAATGTGCATTATGTATTAAATCTAAGGATAGTTTTAATAACATTTTTCCTTTCTTATTCCAATAATAATTTATTCAGAGAATTACATAAGCTTACTTTAAAGCTTGAAATGTGCACTTTTTTCTGTGTCAATTGTTTTTTGTATAGATGTTTGATTGTTTCATTCTTTTTAGTGATTGTTACATATTTGTCTTTTTTATTTGATGTTGTATTTTGTTGTTAGAATTTTATGGATCCTGTTAATGGTACTGGTTCTCATGGAATATCAAGCTAAAGGAAAAAAAAAAAAAAATTCAAAACAGCAATACATGTCAAGATTTGTTGTCATGATGACAATAATAACTTAGTCGAATAAACGGTGAAATATACCCGGTTTCAGTCTAACTAAATTTTGCCATCAATACAACTTAAGTCAAATTGAGAAATGACAGTTTTAGGAACAAACATCTTTATTCAACACAAAAGTTTTCTATATACAGCTGTTTGAGGGCACTGCACACAGCTGCTGGAGAACCATTTCAGGTCTGTTGTTTTAATTCATGTACATTGTGTTTTTCTTTCAGATGCTTATACATGTACGTAACAGGACAAATGTCAGTATGGCATGCTCTGATGCAGCACTAGACGATAAACCCAAAGTACCAAAAATGAGGCCATCAAGTGCTCCTGTGACTCAAAGGGAAGAAAAGAATGCCAAACTGAGTGCTGGAGAAACGGACCATATAACGTGGCCGAAACAAAGTTATGACAAACACCATGATAAACTGTTGCCTGGGAGACCGTTATCTCGACCACATACGTCCCACAGTTACCATACACCACCCCCAAAAGCAGAAACAAGAAAAGCAATATCTCTTCTTGATTCATTTGGGTACGGATCCATGCAGTCAATGCAAGAGTAGCCCTATTGGTCACTGAAAAAGCTCCACAGATTGATAATAAATGCTTAAAGGCACCCCTAAGTTACTTATTATTAAACAATAACAATATAGGTGATTGTTTAGCACCAATCAAAATATTTTATTGGTCTTGGTGCGTGTTCAATAATTCACTTGGGAGGTGCTTTTCAATTAGCTTTTTCATTTACCAGGATGTATTTATTACTTGTACTTGTAAATAAATGAACATTTTTATTACTGAGAAACAACTTTTCCATTTACATCCATTCAAGAATTAAAACAAAATGATGTTTTTTGTTTTTCACCCAAGTTGCAGTGAATAATTTGTACATAGTATTTTGACATTACATGTTTATTCATAAAAGCAGTAATGCAGATGTACAATAAAGTGTACTGCCTTTACACCATGCATGTCACACACTGTTATGTTCTTAGTTGTAGGCAATCACATGTGAGCAGGTGTCAATGAACATATGCTTTATTACATGGAGTTGTGTACAGTCAATGACATTTGTGTATTTATGGTAGGTGTGTAGAGGTAGAGGGTACAATATATGTACTATATGTGTTTGACAGGTGGGTTTCAGCTGTTTTTATGGTTTCTGTGCTGTGTATTTATGATGGATGGCTTAGCTGTTTTAACACCATCTAATATATTTTAAGCAGAGAGATTAGTGAGATCTTTCTGCATTCTTGTAAATTAAAAAAATCACTACAGCATTTCCATGGTGATCTTTGTTCAATACAGACATCATCTTTTATGACATTGGGGAATAATTTCTTGTGTTTGTTTGACTGATGGAGACTTTATTTAACAAACGGTAAATTTGTAAAAATTATGAACATAAGAAAATTGAAATTTATTTAGAAAATTGTAAATAGTTTTTATTACAATATTGGCATGATTTGTCATGTCTATTGTTTGCCTGCATTTGCTGTCATATACCGGTATATATATTTTTTTTTTATTAAGTGAAAACGATTTTTGTTTTTTATTTTCACATGTTAATGTGCAATTTTGTAGTCAATTTGTAGCATCATATTTTGTCCTGTGCACCCGAATACTTTATCTCATAGTCACTGCATCAAACATGTATAGGAGTTTTGGTGGCTGACATGGGGTTTAAGTTTGGTATCAATTAATGTTAAAATTAACATTTAATTACCAACACTTACAAACAACGGAATACATTATTACAAATTTACTGGAGACCAAGCTACTTTTAAAATGACAGAAGTGCATTTGAGTAAAGAATGATAGTCATTACTTAAGAATGGATACAGCAACACATTTTAAACTCAAAAATTTGCAAATCTCAGTTATTTTCAATATTAAATGGCTGCCAGAGGAGAGAAAAACAAGTTTGTATATCTGTTTTTATTCGCTGTTCAATTTTTTTCTAGTTAGTTGCATCTATCCTCAACACCATTTAAACTACTCAACTAGAATAGGTGATCTTTTATTCTGTGAAGTGAGATAATATCTGGTCATTCACAACTTATGAGTCAGTCTTTTTGTTTTTGCAAGCAATGTAATTAATTTATTTTGTCATTTCATGCCACACTGGTATATGTTTTTTTTTTCAAAACAGTCAAATTTGCATAAAACTGAAATGTTGTAGCTGTTGACCCTTTAACCAATATGTAGGTGTGTTGTCATGACATCAATTAAGATTTCTGTTACTGTTGCTTTTATCACTATCACCTGTGTTTTCAAATGACAATCAAAGACTAAAATAAACTTGCACTGTATAAAATAGATTTGTTTCATGATTTGTTTTGATATTATCACTAATAATGTAAATCTTGCTAGTTTAGTTCATTTCTTTATTTATACAAATACTAACAGTAATTTCTATTGTTTACATATTGTTGTACATGAATAGATTAAATGAAGAATTTTTAGCAAGCTCCCCATATGCAACTTTAATAGTTAGGATTTCCCCTTGGTTGTACAAACACTGTGGAAGGATTCCACCACTGCATAAATGAAATGTAGTGAGCTTGTATAATGACACTGCAGGCTTCACCTCTATAGACCATTTTCCGTTCACTGCGAGAATCACTCGTTATGCGTGAAATCGAACGTAAAAACAGGACAAACAAAGGTCATAGCGTCGTAGTCGCATCAAACATCGCGTGGGATTCGACAAACGCGAAAATATTTCGGGGACATTTCCATGCTCAATAATGTGCTGTCCACATTTGATGATAGGCAATTTCGATTAAATTCGGAAGCAATATTCCTCTGTCGAAGATCGGCCGGTCAATGTAAGCTACGAAATAAAGAAATTCTAGTTCAAAATCAAATCGTTCGATTTTTGCGGCAGACGTTCGACGCGCGTCTTTCATGCATCTCGCGAGATCTCGCAATTGTACGGAAAATCACCTATTGCTATAAGCTGATAAAAACACTATTTCTAAGGATGCAATAAAATTATAATAATTATGTCTGGACAAATATTTTGACTCGGAGGTCAATGTATTTTTGCTTCCTGGTATACCATTATCTGTATGTATAAAAAACCTTTGAAGAATGCCATGCCTTGTAGATGATAGGTCACCTGTCTAGGAAGCCTCCACTCTGGGAGGGCGTTTGTAGGATGTGACTTCTGTAAATTGAGTACTCGTTTATCACTTTGGTTCAAATGTGTAAGCAGTCCTTGATTCTTCCCTTACGGACTCTGATTTTCTACAAGCGACTAACTGTCTTTTATGGTGAGGAATTTCAAATCTGCGATAAACATCATACTGTTAGTCTTAATAGGAACATCACGGGAAAACAACACTATTAAGGCAATTATCCTTAACACACTTTCAGAACACTTCAAGGCTGTCTACACTAGACTCTTCTTGTTAACTTTAACATCAGGAGATGCAGCAAGTTACATGCTTTATCCTCTGCAAGCAACTTCGCTGTGCGACGAACACCGCCCTCTAAACATCAGTCCTTATTCATAATTATTGTATTCATTGTTGTATTATACATGTCTAATAACATTTGATTTTTGTCAAAGTGTGCAGGTGGTTCACAATGTTCCGATCTTATGGCTGTCAGAAATTGCATTGTTCCAGGAAGCTGCTGCTTTTATGAGTACAGTTGTTGTACTGGTAATACAGATTTATAGCACTATAGAATCAATTGTTTTACCTGCATATTGAATTTTTGACAATAGCTTTACTTTACTTTACCTGCGCATGCGTCAGATGGCCATAGCGTGTCATTGTTTACAAACGAGCCATGAGCCTTTCCGTTTTTAGCGTGTGTTGTCAATTCCCACGCGTGCGCAGGTGTGGACCCTTCCGCTTTAAACAATATCTAAAAAAAATACACAATAGTGTTACAGTAGTAATTCGTGAGTAAGGATATTAAACTAGAAAAACTTCAAAAGACGTAAGATGCATTGTTTATTAGTTGCTACCAATTACTTACATCCCTCCATCCTCCCAAGCGTGGTTGCACAAGAAAAGACTAACATGAACAACTTGGGTACTTGGAAATGCTAAGCAACCTTATGCTGTTTTCCCTGCAATTTCATATTTGGTGGTCTCAATATTGTGGTAACAAACCCCATATTTGTCTGCTTCAGATAATATCTAAACAATACATGGTTTTCTGATTGTTGCCATGGATTCTTTTGTGGTTTCAAACATGCTGTGTCATCAATTCCAACTAGATATAACAACCAAATGTGTCTTCTATCAAATGTGTTTTCAATCCTCAGCTATTGGTTGCTGTAGTAAACAATGTTCTTTGTTTTTTAATTAATTGTTTGGTTGTGAAAGCCCAAAAATGTTAAGAATCTCCATAGAAAGGCGGTGGCTTCAATTTCACGTATTTACACGCGTTCGCGGCAGTGGCGGCCGTACAGAAGGGTGATCTATATTTCAACATTTTTTCGGGGGAGCAGATCTCACCCCTCCCTCCCCATGCAAAATGTCGTGCCGCCGCGTCCACGTTTTGCAAAAATCGAAAATGTATGTTGCTCGTAACTCAAAGTTCTGTTAACTGTTACATCGAGTTCCAATTTAATGATAGTTTCGTAAAAGTAGTTGTAGTCATTTCTGTAACTTGATGCTCGTATCTCGATGTCCGATCATCTCCCTATCTAGACCCCTATTCCCATCTAGGCAGGCACAGTGCAAGAACCAATATTCCCTTTACACAATTTGCCGAACATATGGCATGCCCGATATTTCACAGATTACGTTTGTTTTTTTATGATCGTTTATCATGTATGATATGGCCATTTCCAACCAGTCTGGGAATTGGGATCATGATTAGGGAGGCCTCAACCATGGCCTGAAAAACGCTTTCAGCGACCTTAGAGGCAGTGGATTACATAGCGCTCTTGGCGATTTTTAACAATTTCTGTAGTCTCCATTCCAGAAACAGGGGAGACCATAATCCTCGGCGAGATATCCACATACAGTGCTACAATTGACTGGCGCTGTAGATGTAAATGTATATGTACATAAGTTGTCAATCCCACAAATTCGTTATGATGCGAACGTGATATCCATAGAAGGTAAATACAAAACAACTTTGAAAGACATGATTTTGCTCAAAATATCAGCTTTATTTTATTAGATATAACTAAACTCCAATACATTCTATTAAAACTACTGTACAAAAACGTACATAAACCGAAGAAGCTAGCACTCTACCAAATATTCATAACTTCCAAAAGAGCTAAATATTAAAAAGGCACTAAATTTCGTAAAAATCATCGTCAGCTCGTATTCCATCGTGTTCTTAGTTTTATCTACATGGAATAGTATGATATTACAAATAAGAAATATGGTCCAACAAGATTTGCATACAATTTCCATATATGGTCAACTATTCAAAATACTGTAAATTACGGCAAACAAATTCAATTTAATACATTAAATGAATTTTCTCAATTTTTCTAAAAATGTTAAAAATATATTGCTCTTAACGCGCGGTGGTCGTCGCGCAGCGCGTGTTCGCATTTTATGTAAATAAACAATGTATTTTACACGCGTTGTATACGTCGCTATGAGTCCCATTTCGAACAGGACGCGGCACGACGACTACCGCCCTTTAATATATCTTGTTGTTGCATTTGACAAATATTGAAATTAGTTGTGACAAATAGATAATATACATCAACAACTTCGATTTGAGTTGCCTAAAGCATACGTGTAAAACGATGGACATAAAAATATGAAAAGTTGCAACTTTTTGGACCATACTAATTTACATACCAGCACGTGACTAGAACTGCGTACTAATTCATTGAATTCATTGATTGGATAATACTTGGACGGTGATGCTTGCGGGCCAACATTCGAATCCCGTAGGTATTCGCACATGCTGAATATTTAGTAGTTTGACAACGAAAATATAAAAAAAAATGTTTCTAATATACTACACTGATACTAAAGAAACTAACTATGAAATTATCTACCGTATTGCAAAACGCCAAATCTGATTGGATGAGAAGTATCAAAACTTTCACTATATGATGTGCCAACACAGATTTACTAGCAATCGCGTCCTAAGACGATGATGTATATAACGTTAAAATGGTGTTGATGGATGACGGTGTGTCGTTCTCGCTAGATGACTGTGTTTGGTTATGTTGTAATGTTTCAAAAACATTGTTTTGTGTTGACTGAGGACATTGAACGGCGTTGAACGGATTGCATGTCACTCATTTACGTCACAGAATTTCTTAGTCGCTTGAGGGCGCTTATAAGAAATAGCATTGAATCAAATAATGACTCATTGGAGAACGGTCTAGTTACATAATACTACGATAGAATAGGACACGAGTACGCTCCTCGAATCAACGTGACGTAGCTGGCTGTCATCGTGACGTAGATGACTGTCAAACGAGAGCAGCTGTCATCCAATCAGATAATGGAGAAGTGTCAAATACCAAAGACAGCAAAAATGGAGAGCGAGCCCGTGTCAAGCAAAGACTTAAAGCCTACAAGTTCTTGGGTGACATGGTGACATACATGCAGGCAGGTATGAACGGGTACATGATTGTCGAAAAGTCTTAGTAGAGCGCCCTCTGGAATAAAATGTAAAGTAATATATATTGATGACGAAGCTTCATTTTAGCGTCGTTTTCTGAGGTAAATGTTTTGTTACTCTTATGCAGTCTATAATTGTGTATCGTTGCACAAAACGCATTTAACATTTGTCACATGACTTGTAAACACCTGTGATTGGTGTACGTTGTTGCCCAATCACTGATGAGATAAAAAATATTGTTTTCTTCGAGCAGTTACTTTGTGCCATTTGTGCGGATATCAATTTCACCTTCGAGTTTATTTTGACAATGTTAATACTTCGCACATATGTTGGAATATCCACAAACAGTTTGAATAACAGATGAAAAAAATGTTTCCTCCTTAAACCTGCGTAACACGTCTTGCTCCCTCTTTCATCGTTGACGGCGGTTTCGGCGGCACTGCGAACACCCGCGTGTGCATGGGACCATTTAGCGGTTGTTTTGACGGCAGAATAGGCAGATTTTTCCCCGTTATTCTAAGTCCATTTTGAGGAGGTGGGTGCGGCGTGTTTTTGATATCCCCGTTAATTACTGGTTCCTGTGGTTTTATCTGTGGCGTTTGGGGAGTCTGTTAAAAAAATTAAAATAAACAAATTAATAATGACGAAAAAGTTGATTGCATGTTCGAGTTTAGGGATGGATCATTATAAGCCACGGTTACTCTTTTTTAGTAACCGTGTATAAGCAAACCTTGGTAGTGGTACAACTATTCAAATTATTTCATTCATTTAATAATGAATGAGTTGTTTCTGGTCAGCACAGCCTTTTTCTGGTTTCTGCCAAAGTGCTGCCCGTAAAGATGATAGAAAAAAAAAGCAAAAGATGCGCCACCACATCATATCTTGATCATCTTAAGACCAGAAACAATTATTTTTTTCAAACTTGTATTGCCATTTCTGTAATTGTGATCAAACATACATTACAAACTAGTCTGAATCATTCAGAACCTGAATGAACCAACCAGTTCCTCAATAAATGTCGCTTGGTTCCGGCGCGCGCGATATTATGTCCGATTACGTCATCTTCTTGTAGCCTCGTTCGCAGTGATTCCTGACGTACACTGTCATTGTCTTATGAATACAATCAACTGAACCAAACGAGTGCAACTTTTTCAATATTTCGAGGAGTTTCAAAACCAAAAACAAAGAGAGCGTGTGATCTGCGCAATACATGAGATATTGAGGATGCATTCCATCATATATTCTTGGATTTTTTTATTGTTGTTTTTTCTGTGTACGTGTATTTGCTTTGTCATGTCACTTTTCATGTTTTTCTGTGTGTATTGTATCCATTATCACTCATTCCAATGGATTCCAAGTGATTAAATAAATAATCTCATGTTGAGGATATGACCAAACACATAATGTGTTTCTTTAATGAGTTTTTCCACGAAGTCACGGTGCACAGTACATAGGTCAATATGGCACAATTTATTAAACACTACCTTTATTATTTATGAAGACATCACACCTCATAGTAGGAGTATAATTATATATCTATATTGTAATGTATTTTCTTATGTTTAATTGCCAGTATATCTTGTAATTTGTAAATTTAAACTTTCAATTTGTGTCCATTTTTATCATTCACTGTTCATCATTTTTTATTGTCTTGTAGTTTTTAGTGACCTTGATGCTGTACTTTCCAAAGTCAGTGTTGTTTCAATAAATAAATAAATGTAAACATGCTAAATTTACACCTGGTTTGATTTCGTATAACCCAAGTAAACGGTTCAACAGTTAGACTGTTACATTGATCAAACAAACAAGCCCCGACCGTTACAATTCTAATAAATAAATAAGTTATTTTTATAAATGTACTTTAACCGTTTTTACGCCGATGTTATAAATTAGGTGTGGCCCACATACCCATTGTCTGTCCACATTCCAACATTTCACTGAGATAATATTGATGGTTACCAAGGACATACCGGGTGGCTGTACAATAAACAATACTTCAGCAAATATATATATTCATTCGTGTGTTTGCGTATGACTACTCACAAAGCACGAAAACAATATATATATACAAATATAAGACTGCTGCTATTGGTGAAAATAAATTCCAAACAAACAAGACACAATGGGATATTAATAAACTCAAGATTCCGTGACACCGAAACATGGACGTTTGCCTGGATAAGATAGACAAAATTGTTCTACGGTCTAAGTTTCGTGGCATGGGGTATCGGACAGAGAATGAATATGTGTGTTGTTTAGCGATCTCACTTAATGATTTCGTATTTTTGCTATTTTCTAGCACATTTTTTTGTTTGAAAAAGCTTAAAGCTTGTAAGCAAGACTAAAAATCACTTGATTTATTAAACTATATTTTACCTGTAATCTTAGCCTATCTAGTTCTTGCCTCGATGACCCAGCAGACCATGCGCTCCTCGGCGAGTTGTACGCAGGTTTAACATGTAAATTCAACATCTCGTCTCGAAGTTCTAACATCTCCTTGGTATCGTGGTCAACCACGAAGTCTGAGGTTTCGCGGAGGTCAGGCAAGCTGCCTTGCCTTGTCACGGTGTGACTGCAATAAAAGGGAGAAGTCGTCAAATTAGTATCCTTAAACTTTAGCACTTTACATACTTGATATTATATGCATATTTGAAGCGCGCGCGTAAATATGACACTGAAATCAGCAAGGTAATGGAAGATCTCTTCCATGGAACATGATTATATGTTGATAGAATTACACAGTCTGAACGCTGGAATAATTGAAAGTACAATTAATTCAGGTGGTCAGCCATCATTGAGCAACGGTCGACAAACTTTCTACAATATGATCATGCGATTAAAATGGTTGCTTACAGCATAGCGAACTTCATGGTGCGTGAGCCTGGGATAACCTCAGTGAAATTACTGAACACTGCATATATAGAGACAAAGAACAATGGAAGAGCTGTTTCCGTTGTCCTTCATCGAGTCTTCGACGTGTGTTATAAACCAATCTTCAGTCACCGAACAATATAATTGTTTTTATTGTTGTGTCGATCAGCCCTCGCCGCGAGGACAACACACACGTAGCTCGGTGACCAGGTGATAACACTTCACAAGAAAGTTATGCACCAATGAAAGAACGTAATCATGCACCCTCTTTAAAAGTTGTAAAAGACGACCTCGACACGTTTGACCTCAGACGGACCGACCCACCGGCGATCTCACAACACAATTTCGGAGATAAAGTTATGATTAGATTACTAATTAAAACAATGACAGTCACATTGTTGATACTAATAAATGTATTCATCATCATTATCATTAGCACTATCACCATCGAAGGACGATGGTGGACTTCATGGATAAATGTCAAATACATAATGTTATATTTGGAATAGAGTCTAAATGACTAGAAACATTTTATTTATTTTGCAAGCATTTTGAGTAAATCTGCGTACGCGACACAGCAGGGAACTGTAATGATTTTCATTACAGCTCCCTGGACACAGTTTATTCAATGTATTCTTCAACACTTGGATTGAAATGTACTAATAACAACATCACGTAGAGACCCTCTTTAAGATATAAGCCAGGTAGAAAGATTATTAGAAAGGAGGGACTTCCGTTATAAGTTGGTTTTAAATTGCACATCCTTATCCGTTTTACGGCAAAGTAGGGCTCAGGCAATTATTCTTGTATTTTTCTGAAGGCAGGATTCTCGGTAAATCCAGTGATTGACCTTGTATTTGGTGTTTCGGATTAAGTAAAGGCAATGGCCGTTGATACAGATCGCCGAAATTCGCCGTTAGCTGACAGATTCAAATGTTAGTGAATGCAAAAGCAATGGTGCATATATTGTCCGTAACTCACGCGTGATTATAACTTACAAAACAGCACAATGCGCAAAAAAAGTACGAGTTATGGTCCTTAATATAGTCAGATACCGTGACCGATAGTTAAATTGATTAATTCCTTCAAGAAAACGATTAAAGTGTTCAGATTCAAAGGAGAGCTAGACAGGACATAATATTTGCTATATCACAGTCTCTCTATATAGAGGGACTGTGGCCATATGAATAGTCTCATGGCCTAAAACCCATGATAACACTGAAATCATTTCATTCATAAACATCAACACGGCTTGTGGTCCACTAACAATAATTTATATCAGCCTTGGCCTCACGCTTTATTGCACTAGGTTTGTTCATTCAACTTTATCGACTGTAATATTCGCTCTTTCCGTTGGCGGGTTTCGCGCTTGTCACACCACTAAACTCATAAAATGGACAATTAAACTTTGAAAAAGTTGGAAAGGCCGTGACTGCAGCATTCATACTCTTGGGTCACTGTCAATACATTAACCAAAATAGTACCTCCCCAACCCTAACAGTCTGACCAATCAGAGAGCGGTTTGTTTGTCGACAATCTTTTTCGACGTGTCAAATTCTGCCTTGTATAGGCGTCGACTTAACTTGACTGTTGGATTTTAGTTCCCTTAGCCATTTCTATTTTATTTTAAAAGAATTGTGGCCTGGATTTGCTACACCGCGAGCAATTATTTAAATAAAATCTTGGGTCAAGCTTGTATGAATCAAAGGCCAAATTGTGTGTCCCTATTCGGAGTCGACGATGACATCATCAACTTCTTGGTTTCGAAGTTGAATGATATTTAATGATGATATCCACAACTTTTCAATTTATTGTCCCAATTAGAAAATCTCATCTCAAAGTGGATTTCTTTCAAGCATCGCCGTCGGTACGAATGTATTTTGTCCTAATGTGAAATGTGTAAATGTTATTTTTGAAGCAATTTGAATATCGCATTATTCGTTTAATATAATACTGAATAATACAAACACGAATCCACTCAATAGTGTGTGTCAATACGAAGATGAGAGTAGATGTTGTATGATTTTATAGAAATGGACTAAAACTGAGAAGTTTTATAAAACTGGACAAAGGCTCAGATGTTTAGATCACAAATGTGTTGGTAATAAATAAAAACAACAAAACTATTAGATTATTAGGTGTGGTGACGTCAATTCTAGTGCTACCCAAAGATTCAATTGCGGGGTTGTAATGTTGAGAGGAATACCAACACTCCTTACATCACTGAGTTACCTGAGTCGTTACGTAGCTGCATACCAGCGCGCACAGTATGCGTCCCACATCCCCGTAGAGACCGGGTAGTCACTAGTCTCGGACCACATTAATCATAAATTGATTCTGGACAGCAAAGTCAAATAGTGACAGCTTATGTACAAGACATTTTCTCCCCCGTAGCAACCTGGGATGGCAACCCGGGATAGCAACCCGCTCTGTCTCATTGTTGACATAGTATTAGATCCGTCCTGAATACGCACACATATGTCTACCAATTTATTTACCAAAATAGAAACGCACAACATTCCTAGTTCATTTACAGTTATCCCAGACCCGTTTTAAAATGCGTGATGCCCCGGGTGTGATGTTGGAACGAAATACAGACGAGCTTAACCGACGACAGCGCAAGTGACAGTGACCCCGTGGCCTAATTAAACGTAACCTAGAGATGCGAGCCTCACTCTGATGCAGACATACCTAATACCTTATGTCAACTTTTGAAACTTGCTTTTTATAGTAACTTTTCATTTAAACTACTTAGTGGTCAAAGACCTGAATTTAAAGTCACTCGACAAAGCTTGTGCAAACTTCAAGCGTTAGAAATTGGATTAATTGCTAAAAGAAATATAAATTAATAAATCAAATTTAAGTCAACTACTTACTGATTTGACATGGGTAGGAGGTTACTGTCTGCTCTGACACAATGGTTAGGGGAGACGCTGCGGTTCGTTTACAACATATTTGCATAGTGTATAGCGCCACCCCAGTACACAGGCTTGAGTTCGCCTGTTTTTATTCTTGTAATTCCGTTATTCGTTTTTTCTTTTGTGGGTATGAATCAACTAGTCAATTGTATGAGTTATATGAATCTGAATTGACACAAGCGACAGAGTAACGCATTTTACGTGAATTTTATTTGATTTGACACAATTCATGCTTTGTTCATCCAACGAGGAGATATTTACATTTGGATGTATGCAAAGCGAAGTCAATAGCTTGCGATAAACCAAGTCACGCCACTTGTATATTCGATCACATCTTCGTTTCATCGGCGTTTATTGAGGTCAACACTAGGCTTCCGAAAATAAAAAGACAATAATGGCATATGAAATAATGCATTCCATTTTATTTTGCACCTGTGCTATTTTCAGGGATTCGTTTAAGTTTTTTCATTGCTTTTAATTTTTCGAAAAAAAACAAACAAACAAACAAACAACAACAACAGTATTTGTAAGCAAGCTCAAGGTCACACCATGGAAGGTACTAACGTTAGTACCTACCATGGTCACACGGAGCCGATGTTCTTACATTTCGCACACACAGCAAATCTAGTGAATGGAAGTATTATCAAGCCACTGGCATTTTCGAAGCAAATTTGTGACGGACTTTTGCGTCGACCATGCCCATGTTGATTTGCTCTAGACTTACTTACTAACTTGGGGACATTTGTTCCCTTGTGACAGTGACACTGTATGATAGATAACACATGCTAGATAATCCCGCCGGCAATTCTTGGGTATCTAGGCTGCGAACCACCCGATATACCGTGACGGAGGCTCACGCATGTTGTTCCGGAGTTGTCTTGAATATAGTTCTACATGTACGTATTCTACATGTACGTACGTATTTGCTTCTTTTAAGAAAAAGGGGGAGTACTGTGGTTATGTATGTACCTCTATTTCAAGGTGACCGACCGGTAATGGGAGCGGCAACCCACACACCCATTGCCCGGGGAGAGCACACAAACGAATCCGACCCAACTGAAATAAAGGAAATCGAATACTAGTACTAGTAATAGCTGACAGCTTTGGTTCATAAATAAACAAAAGAAGGAAAACTCGACATTTTATTAGGCGGGTTACTTTATTAGATGAATAGATCAAGTTTGTGTAGCCTCACCTAAAGAATAAAGTATACTACAATTGTCATGCACTTTGTTCGTCTAAACATGTAATTCCGTTGTGGACTATTATTATTGTACTCTAACCGCCGCACCCAGCAGCACCCAACTCAACTTATGAGTGACATCACGAGATTTGACAACTTACTTGAGAAGTACATGTCGATTGTTTGACGAAAGATAACTAAAACGAATTGGATTGGCTGGTGGTAGAAAGCAGTGATAACATATTTTGAATATGAACTTGTCCGACCCACCGTTGCCAAGTTTATTTAATATACTGTAAAAGGATTAATTATTCACTGGGTTTTAATGTTACTTATTTCGCTGACTGGAAAAATGCGCTGAAAACCCCAGTGAATATATACAATTTAGCATAGAATACATTATCTAAATGATAAAACCGTGAATTTAAAACTCACTGAATATGCCTGAAATGGTAAATCAGTGAAATTTAAACCCAGTGAAAATTTTACGGCAAGTCTCTGTGTATAGTGAGTGACACACACACCGTTGAGGGCAGACTAACAAACAGGAACGATATCTGCGGTATGAAATATTCGAGTTTCATTGTCAACTTTTCGAACAATGGGAGTTTAAGGTCAGAGGTCAAGTGACTTTACCTAGTAAACATTGTCTTTGTTGTACCCGTGGGCGTGAAAATATGCATGTTGTAGCTGTTGATAGCGACAACATACCTGGGCAAGAATCCAACATTATTGACGTTTTCCGTCGTATGATTCAATAATACCACTGTATCAAGTTGACCATCTAGGTTAATACCCACCCACATGCACCAACATGGAAGTCATGAACCATGGTGAGTCTTTCATATGTTTTCGTACCCTCTACATACCCCCACATTATCGACCCCCTTGTTCTCGCTTGTAAAGACTACAGCGATAATCCTAAGTTATCTAATCTGACCATTTCGGAACGACATTAGGCTGTACTGTTATAGATCTTGGATTAGGGGTGATAGATCTTGGATTATGGGTGGGGTTAGATTTGCTCAATACATATTTACCTTCACTGGTAAACGTAGCATGTCATTATGTCTTTTCTCATAACAAATCTGACCAGACCCTGTGTAAATTTCATTCACAGCATTATTCTATTATCAAGTTGGCAAAAAAGAAAAAAACAAATTTAAAAAATCCCTAATTCTAATCGATTTATACACCAACAACAATGACCTGTCCCTTAATTTCATTAGGGGAGCCCAGTAACGTGGAACCAATTGCATCTAGGTAACAGGAACTCTTTTGTGTCACGTGATTGTCAAAATCTATGTTTGTACTCGCACTGTGGAACGCCGTGAATCAAAAGATCTATTATACTGAAGGCTAAACTAATATGCAGCGTAAAAGACCCTAGCAATGTTGACGACAATTTTCATAACTATTTCATTTGTTTTGTTTTTTTTATTATAATTACTTTATTAGTAATATTACCTACAAATGACATAAAATACTAGTAGTCAAAATCGATAATCATAAAACAGAAGAATTAAGATATCGTTCGAACGAGTCCAAACTCGTGTTCACAATACCCCATTCCGATAACCTATCTATTTTAAAACACACTCGACTGAATAGTATAAAAAGCATATGACTCACAAAATGCGACGATTTATAACTATAGAAAGACCTAGGTTACATTGGCAGCATACCATGCATGGCCTAAAGGCTACACATATTATAGGGGTATTCTTATATAACAGCGATAATTTTAAATATTTTTGAACTTCATTGAAGAATAATTATGAGAAAATGTTTTGGTAATTTTTCATTCAAAGTGATTCGTTTCTCCAAGAATGTACCAGTATATGTAACCTCGGGATCATGCATGACGTTTAAGTTGGGGTGGGTTTAGGGTTACACACGTGGCACACCCCAATGCCTCAATCAATTCTATAAAGAAGTTTACAGATATTCCGATGACCCCTTTTCAACCGGCGTACAATACGTTGCAGCTATGATACACTGTTCCAATCGACGCTGACAACACTACTCTAATTCCACAAGTTACATGTAACATGATTAAAGTGCGTATAATGCGCGGCAGTATATTAGTTTATAAATATTTGTAAATACCGAACCTCAGCTTTCATTTATTTCCAAAATGTAATTGTGATTGGATCACGAGCTGCAAGTAATGTACACGCATGTCTTTTCTGATTTTTTGTATTGCACAATGTGAGTGTTGTCATGAAAACCATACCTATGTTCAAGACCACATAATAAAACACCAGACCGATAGAAAACACACTGCGAACCTCAACTTTGGTTCTCCCAAAGTCACAGTTAATGAAACAAAATCTCCACGGTGCACTTATTCAGACTGTTCAAGTTCATGCCACTCCAAGTAGAAACACCCATTGTCACACCAAGATCGCACGTTTCCGTGGTCTAACTGACAGAATTGACAGACAAGTCCCAAAGTCGTAGTTTACAATTTACCAAGTTAAAACTTTGTTCCCAGACTTTTTAATTTGTCCAAACATGAATCCAGTGCATATCACGTGATGTATTGATATGTTGAAATTCTGACGTAAGTTCAGTAAAAAACGCACCCAACTTGCAATTTGGTGAAAAGCAGATGGAGGCGGATTTTCGCCCTTTAATTGTTATCACATTTATTTCTGAAGTATCTCTGTATATTCGAAGTTTACTTAAATTCCGTGTACACTGGAGGAAATAAATAGTCAACATACATCAACCACATTCAAAATTCGTATTTCATCTTAGCATAGGTATTGATAAAACAACTATAATATTTACCCTTTGACCAAACATAGTTATCATTTATGGCGAACAAAAATTTTTGAATTTTTTGAATATTTGTGACAAATTGGACACAATTAAGCAGTTCTCCCTGTTATAACAAATCTCATGGAGTGAATCGATGGACCTGAAATAAATATCTTTAGAACTGAAAATTAATATTGATTCGTTTTTGAGGTCATCTTAACTTCATAGTAACCGAGGAAGACACTAATCACGGGGATACGAATACATGCTTTAAATACTCTTTGATACATGCTATTCCATAGACCACTTCTTGCGAACTGTTAAATAGTACATTACTGTTTTACTTCGTCCGTTTTCGGATATGTAACCTAGGAGTTTAGATCGTCGTTAAACAGGTCAGTTTTAACCGAGATTGGACATTTTCTTCTTCATATAGGATGGTAGCCGTCATACATGATTCAACCATATTGAGTTAAGTATATAAACATGTGTTTACATACACATGGTTCCTATATTGTATACGTATTGTATACGACACCTGGAACCCAAATTGAACATGATACGTTCCGATGACGTGACGGTGGCGCTTTAATAATAAGTACCATCAGAGAGTACAATGTTTTACGTTTTCATATATCAACAACAATATCTAAACTTTCTCTGTTCCCCAACCTCGCATCCGTGATACCCGTACCTCGTTGGACGCGCCCATACTCGCACCCATTCAATCAGCAAACATGTGTGGTTGCCATGTGCCAAGGATCTCGATATGACAAGTGTAAAATAATTTAGGTGAACCGAATATTTGATTATGATTTATGAAGGATATCATAATATCTACATACCAGTCTGTGCATGTCAATGTTACACATGATACGATCATTAGTGGTTGCAAGAATGAACATGATCTCTGCACGTACCACAGTCAATGATTTGACCTGATTTCAAGTTCTTTAATCCAAAGTTCACGATAAAAAATGCACTGTGGGACAGGGCGTTCGTTTAGGCAATGAAAGAACGATGATTGGTCTTTAAATATAGCGAATAAAATGAATGATAATGATTTAAAGTGCGATTTAGGGAGCCAATTCAGGCCCAGCAGTTTGAACGCAGTGTAATTGGTTCTTGAATGTTGTTACTATTATTGTAAACACTCACTCAAAAAAAAATGGTCAGATTCCAATTTCCAATAAATTAATTGAATTTGATTTACGTGCAATGCAGTAAACTCGACGAACGCGCTCAATAACTTAATGACATAAACATCGGTCGTAAACTTGACTGGCCATTCGTGCTATAATTTACTAAAACCTCATAACAATTCAAGTAGCGTATGAATGCTACTACTTGAAACCATGCCCAAATTTTAAAAAAGAATTGAAAAGTTTTTCTCATAGTGGGAAGTCGGGATCTATAGTTCTGGTGGTTTATGTCGTGAAACGGTTTTTACAAACTGAATAATTCATTGCTTTATTAATGCTGTATAAATATTCCAAAATTGTTCGTCCAAGTCGTTCACTAGTGGTTCTTCACATAGGTGTAGTCGCGGCGGCGCGTGACAGAACCGCATAGATTTCCGGGGCAGATTCTGTTTTCAGTCAAGCTTCGAGTCGTTTCTGTGATCGATTCCATCAAGTTGATGAGCAGGTTTTAAATCATTTGGAACACCAACCATTTTTTTCTTTTTCTGCGGCTAAGCTGTTCAATTTACCGAGGAACACCCGCCACTACAATGACTGCCCATTTTTGCCCAAAGAAGCAAAGCAATTCCAAAGGAACGCAATCAAAAATATAACTATATGTATTGGGAAACAGACCAATTGTTAGTAGTGTATGGGCCGAGTTAGGTAAACCCATTACCCGTAGTCATAACCGGTGCATGATAACAAATTCCCGGGGGTTGTTAGTAGTTAGTACGTGCCGTGTTTCTTCGTGATAAATCTACACCCCAGTTTAATTCGTGACGAGAAAACAATCAGAATTAACAATACACGGCGTTTTGAACACTCCGTTAAACCAAGTAGGATAAAACTGCGTGGGTAGAAGCCATGTTTTATGCTTGATGAGGCCAAGATAGCATAGAACAGAAAACAATGTCAACAAAGGCATTGTTAAACAAATACCTTCACTAATCCAACAGTGAGGAAAAATCACAGCATACTAGTATTCACATATAAACCGACTAGTAAACCATAGTACATACTAGTATTAAACCTCAAATGACGCGATTTAAAATAAGATGAATTTGGTCCCGTGCAGCCACACACGCTACGTAGTGCTAAAACAAATCGCTAGTCGATCCTTGTTGCAAAGCTATTATATTTTAAAACACCGGGGAAACAATGGACAAAGAATGCGATCGGTTACTTTATCTGGCACTTCGGTGACTACGTCGGCTCCTTTTAAGTCCAGAAAATATATGAAATGATGAGCGTAACAGACCAGAATGAGGTTAGGAAATGTCGATTCAACGCGGGTGCATTGACTATGTTCAGATATTTGAAAAAGAAAAAAAGTTGCGACATTATTTAAGTATAAACGGAGACCTACCTCATGACAACAAGTGCCCGTTTAACCAATCGCTGAGAACGACTACATCTTACACTGTGGAATCGGCAGTAGAACGGATGATATTAAACAGCACAACAAATTAGAGCTTGGAGCCTTGGCAGCAGCTTCTGGAAGTGACTCTGTGATTTGTATCAGTGAATCCCGCCGTAGTGCTTTCACGACACAGTAAACATAGGACGCCTCACGGAAGAAGATAGGCATGTCCCGACATGCACATGGTAATACGCAAAGGACGATGGGAGCTGCATAGTTTCGTAGCCGCGGATCTATTGTTTGGCAAACAATGGAGGTTAGTGGGGTCAAACTTCTTTGTTGCGACGATCGTGCAGATCGTGCAGCTAAACTATGCTATACAGGGAGCGTGGGCGTTTCAATCAGAAAATGTCAACACTGTGTATCAGTGATTTTTCAACATAAAACTTTACTTCAGAGTTTTTTGCAGCGCACTACTCCGAATTACCAAGTAAAATTGTCGTTATACGATGATTAATCTCACTGAGAGTTTTAATGACAGACAATGAGGATAAAATAACGACACTGAATATCGATTTTTGCTGGTCAAATCTCACACCGTGACAGTGCCATCGACGACTCGTGGAATGTGGGAAAATTAATTTACCCTACGAATGCAATGGACAACTGAACGATTGCAAGACACCCCAGGGGTCAACGCATCGAGTTCACCATCCCGTTGCTAATAGTTAGATCGCTCGATTCGCGCAAATACGTAAACGAAAACTTGATCAGTGACAAATGTATTTATAATTTAAGTATCATGAAATATTTTTTTTTACAAGTGCGATGTTGTACAGTAAACATCCACGCGATTCGCCCAAATCATTCAAACGCCCAACGGCGGGGAATTCCCTAAACCAAGATATACGACTAAGCACTTCTTATAAAACAACAAACTCTCATTTATACTTGACCACAATGTTTCTCACAATCCCAAAAATAAAAGTAATACACCATGTCGATAGAGATCAACTCTCAAACTGCTTAGGCGCTGGTAAAATTATTTTTAAATAAAAGAAAACATTATATTAACTAAGAAATTATATCAATTTTCAAACAGTAACTATGCAAAATAATGTTATTTTTGATGCTAATATTAATATACATATATAATTATTTCTTTATAAGGAGTTAAAGTGTGGTAGTCGTCGCGCTGCGCATGTGCGACATTTGTGTTGATAAACATTGACAATCAAATGCGCTTTTCTAATGGAAATCATAAGTATGAGGTTTTACCTGGGCGCGACTTGCACTAATTGCCGCCAGTGACTCTTTCGATACCCCCCAACCACCCGGAAAAACCTAATTAAAGCTTCGTAACGTCTCACTTTGTACTCGTTTGTCTGCCTAACAGTCAACAGTCGCCATCTCTGTTTACATGAGACCCATATATCTCTCGCATGCGTGGCGCGACGACCACCGCCCTTCAAGTAATTTCAATGAATATCCATACACAAGTAATATGTGAACTTCTCATTGTATATAACGAAAAAAATATTATCAATTGTTAAGTTTTCAATGTTTTAACAATATTAGCATTCATCTTATTAATTTTTGACTTTTTCGTCTCGTGTCATCGAGGTAAACTTATAATTCCATCATAGAAACCATTTACTAGTACACAAATTACAATTTTGACTATTTTCTGTGATATTTTGGACTTTTGCTCCTACCGGTATCCCGATGGCATGAAGTCATAGTAATAAAAGCTCGATAACAATGTCATAAATTTGTAATGTGGTCCGGACCTCATTAAGCTGACTGTGACGTAGAGATTATCACGTCATCGTGTCAATGATAACCATTTGAAGTCTTGTCTATCAATTTTTTTGAGGACGTCTTCCAACTTATTCGCCATGCCGTTCAGCGTGACTCTCTCAAAATGAGACCGTGAAAACATATTGTAATTTGGAAGAAAAAAATGACACAAATTTGCACCGCGAAGACTTTCGATAAAGAATTGTAATAAATCTACAAGCCTCTGTTCCAGAAACTGATCACTCCATTGCTTATCGTTAGGATACATCACGCAGCAATGTAAAAACACAGTTTTTAGTTGAAATGAACGGAGACTGGCAAAAATACGTTTGTGCCGTTCTTTTAAATTAGTCAGAATATATTTGAAGATTTTGTAGCAGTTCTTACGAACGGTAGGTGCGTATGTTCTTGTGTCTGCACGAAGCAGTAGCTCCTTTTCTACCGATGAAAAAGACAAACGCCAATGTTTATCATCACCTGGTTCTAATCCCACTTCTGAAAACAAGCAAAATATAATAAAACGTAATAGTCAATAGTAGTAAATCAGACGGTCCTAGTAGCATATTGTCTATTTATAATGATATATACTGAATGGATTCACATCCACACTCCCGATGTTTACATGGAGTCACGTTTCACCCTGAAATTGATGCTTCTTAAGGGCTACAGGTGCAAATGAAAATGTATAAATATAACTTTAAATAGCTGACACAATTTAAAACGAAATAAATCTAAATAAAACGCCTCTGAAGGTGTGACAACGAATACTAAAACAAAGAAAACTCCCGCGAAAACTCTTCTTTGTGAGATGCCCAATTGTGTAAAATTGTATGCCACAGGTGTAGACGCGTCTTTATTTATAGTAGCTGATAGGTGGCGCTGTACCGTATGATGCGCCCTCATTGTCGAATATTGATAGTTTGTGGTGTAAGTGGCCATTTTTATATATATACATAGTATTACTAGTCCGGGGCTGGTCGTCTCGTTTGTTTGTTTTGATTGTGCCTATAAATTGTATGTCGTTCAGAATGTGGCTGGTGCTATTGAGATGTGTGGCTACTGATGTGTCTTGAATCAGTCGTACTGTAGAAAGATGATTAAGTATGTTACATTTCTGGTGGTGCATCTTATCACGTGATCTTTTATTGTGTATGTATGGATATTAAGAGTTCTCCGAAAACTGTTAGTCTATGGGTTATCAGGAGGACTCGCAATTAAGTAAAACTAGTTCGAGGAATGTGCATTTCAATTAGCTGTAAAATAAAACGTCTCGGATGTTCTTACTGCGAATGTGTTAAATATTAGGGGTTTTGGGTTCATTATGGTGTCCGTAATTAATTCTATTTAGGTTATGACTAGCCAGGCAGTTCACCTAGATGAATGTACCGCCACACCGGTTTGAAAAAATGCGGCAAATCATGATCCTCGTGGGGAAATCATATGGAATACTTGTTTTTAATGGGAATGAATGGGAAGACGCAAAATGAAAATATTGATTGTAAATGTGGTTTTCTATTACTTTTTATTACTATTCTTTATCAATGTTACCTATGAATCAATATGAACTTTGACATCAAGAAATGACGAGTCAGTGTTTCACGGTGAATTTGATGGTCTCGAGAGATCGTTTGATGAAATCATCATGATGCAATTTGTTAATACATATTTATTAAATTAAATGTAATTATAATGAATATAAATAGTACAAAGATGAATAATTAAAAGCAGTGAATCGTGCACGTAATAATATTCATGTCTTGAGCATGTCCATGAGTATATTGGCATAACTCGGACCATTTTTTGTCACATTAGAGTGCAAATATTTGTAAATAGTTATTGTTATTAAGAATGAGTGTTAGGAAATTGATAATGGTGGAGATGGGTGGAATTTAAACCTGTTCTTTAATAGATACGTTGCTGTACAGGGCCGTTACACCAAGTGTTACCATGTAACTCCCTTGAGATACCTTCCCCTAGGTATTGCAAACAATGGATCGAATCTTTGAGGCTTTTGTGCTATAACCAAGAATTGGAAAAATGATCCACAAATTCAGTGATTTTTTAGGTGCAAATCAGAAAGTTGTTATTTAGTAATTCCCCCCCCCGAATTACTTAACATAACATGTCTAAAAGTTTGTTGGCCTACGAAAAGTTAAATTCAGTATCCATAACAATGACTGCTGAATCTCGTCAACGCTTAGAGCGGACAATCGAATACAAATATCGCCCACTTTTAAAACGTCTTGGGTCCAGAGTTTTACAAAGCGACAACATATACAGCATCTCACAGTACACACCTGTCAAGTAGTGACTTTATAGATAGTATTTTGCAGGACTTTTTCGACTTTTATAAAACGACTAGAAACAAAATGGCAGAATGTATGACGTACTCTGACAAGGTCACGTGAAATAGTTTACCGTACCTCTTATTGATGTTTTTGCCACGGCATGTACGATAATATTCTTTAGGTCCATCTCTTCTCTCTTTTTAAGCCATGGTCGTGCAGTCCATTCTTGCGTCCCATCCAGGTCACTAAATCTGTCTAGTTCGACTGCCAACACCAAATCTATTGAATATGTTTTACTGTTTCTGGAGTTAGTCAGAGATAACGTGATGGCTGGACATTCATCGGACGTCACAACATTGATAGATTTGTCTGAAAATAAAATTTCTTTTTATTCAAATTGTTACAATAATATACTAGTATCATCTGTTATAATCTCAAGTTGATCTTACAATAGCAGATAATTACCATGGTGTTAACCATACCTGAATGTTTACATCGTTTGTATTCTGTTACGGCCTTTTCAACAATTTCAGTCTGGAAATAGTCTCGCATGCGTCTTGGGGATAGGTGGCCACCTTTTGTGGTGAATTCACTCCATGTTCCTTTTGGCACATTCAGTTTTACTAGTCCCATGTATGGTCTCAAAAGTTCAGTGAACTCCAAATCTGGTACATTGACGACGAACATGACGTCAACTTCGTCTGATTTCCCAACCTGGAATTTAAAGCTAGATATTAAAGAGATTGTTACAATTAAACTCATCTGTATTATAACATAGGCCGAGGGTCTATGAATATAATAGCTAGCGAGCAGCGGGATTAATAATATAAACTTTTTAATTACAGCGCCCTCTAGAGACAAATCTTTTCCGTGACGTACGCAGGTAAGAGGAAAGCCTGTGTTTACTGTGACGCTTTTGTAGAAGATGAATGTATATATTTTCACGATTCTACTGAATCTCTACCGTGACGTCATAAAAGCGCACCGTAGCTATCGACAGTAATGAAAAGAATTTGTGTGAAGACTTCAATACATATTAGGTGCCATCAGTTGCCGAAAGAGGACGTGGTTTGCGACGATGTTCAAGACTGCCGTTGAGTAATTTTGATTGAAAAAATGTTGATAAAAAATAAGTGAGATAAAAAACAATTTAATCTTGACCTTAAGTTTTTCGTAGTGACTGCCAGCTGGTAATTTCTTCATGGATGACAACAATGAGTCATTCTTTGCATACTTGAGGACTAAGTCTATTACAGGGTTCATCTCGCGGACTGCAATGCTTGTATCGTCTCTGCAAATTTTAACATGCTCGTTCAAAAACTGTTTCAAAGAATTTATTTGATTATAATCCTGGCGCCCTGGATTAGTCGTTGATTTTGTTGTTTTAGGTTTACTACCCTGCTCGGTCCGGACCGGCTTATCTCGAGTGGTAGAACTTGGGCGCCCACTTTTTCTAGCGATTTTTACACCTGTCTCCGATGCCCTTCTTTGACCGGACGATGTGAATTTAGAGCCTTCGCCTCCATGTTTCGGCGAATCGCTCCGGGGATGGGACCATTGCCCTCCAAACGCAGACGATGGTACGTTTTTCTTTAGAGCTGCTATTGTCCCACCTTTTCTCTTCTGCAAGTCAGAGTCTTTTAGGACGCTGGGTGATGAACTTGTTGACGCTGGACGCATATCAGGCGAACGTTGCGAACGAGCTTCCTCGCGTGACTGGTTACGCGGGATTTGATGTGTCCTTGTCTTTTGTTTAGTTGAGGCACCATCGATCCACATCGTTGATGGTAATACCGGTATGTTCAATTCAACCATTTTTAATTGAAGAGACGATTTCCCAGATATTTCACGCGATCCTTTGATCTTACCATGGCCTGGTGCTTCCCTTTCCGGTGCTGTTTGTTTACCTGACATGCCTCTGGTTTACCCAATAACTGTATTAAAGAAACAAAATATGTAAATTTAGTAAATGTAATATTCGCTAATAAAACAACAGACTATTAGGTCAGGTGAAACTTACAGACATGGGGTTTACTCCACTGTAACACGAACAAACATACAGAGCAAAAGTATCTGGATATATGGCCACCAAAGGGCGCTATATGTATTATCATATATTGGTTATCTCTACACCTCCCTTTAAAGTACAGAAGGGCTGAACTGAAACTAATGTCCTGTATCAAGTGTTCTCACTATTGTTCGTAACAAGTCCACGAATGTTTCTCTGAATACAACACAACATAACGTAATTCATTAACTCTAACTGCAATATATCAACTAACATAATATTCACTAATAATGAACTGCTAAACTAATTTCAATGTCTGCTTTGGTGACATTACTATAAATCTAGACATAC